GCCTCCGCCTCGGCTCCCCGGACGCGTCCCGCGCCGGCCGGCGGCCGGGGGGGCCTGCCCCGTTTGCGGAGTCCGGGAAGTGTGCTGTCACCGAAGGAGAGGCAGGCGCCACAGCCACCCCACAGCATCACGAGGTCCGGCTTATACGGCCCAGTTTTCAGCGCACGGCCTTGTTTTCTGCGGGGAGGGGCGGACTTTGTCCAGGTCTACGCGCGTATCCAGGAACGCGCTCTTAGGGCAGGCCTGCGCTGTTTTTGGTAGCACGTCGTGTACCTGGCTTCGTAAGGGACATAGTTTATGCCTGTGAGTTTGGGGCCTCGTTGAAGCCTCCGGTGTGCTAGGCCTGTGCTAAGCACTGGCGAAAGATGAGTGCGATGAGGCCCCGCCGTTACCAGTTCTCATTCCGTTGTGGTGAAGAATCATGCCGTTAAAATATTCCATGATATGCGTTTTATGAAAAAAGAAAACATTTTGTGGGACCTCCGAAGGAGCACTCTCCTTGGGATTGGGAATGGGGATGAAGGTAGCAAGGGAGAGGTGGAAGATAGAATAAAACTGGATGCTTTATTCATGCTGACAAAACTGTGCACTTGTAAATAAATAGGACTTTTGTCCAGGTCATAATGCGTATTACTGGCAGAAATATCACAAAGTGAAAACTGACAATGGCTAAAACAACACACAAAATTTGTCATCGACCAGAGTGATACAAAATCTCTGATGAAATTTAGATATGCAAAATTTGACACGAGAATTAAATAATAGTAGCCAAGGGCAATTCAGAAGGCAGAAGCTGTAATTAATAAAATGACATGGTTAAAACTATTTAAAGGGAATGTTAATTTTAACATTTTTGGTGAAAACAAAATGAAAATGGAAGAAAATTGGAGCAGTTTAACTGAATAATAAAATTAATCAAGGAATAAAACGGGCTTAATGGAGTTTTTATTCTCTACCCCAATCATTCAATATTGGCATATCTGGTTAAAACCCTTTATGAGAACAACTGTAGAGTCACCAACAACAGCATCAAAAGGCCCTGGGCCACTTTAGGGCTTCAGGAGGAGGTAAACTTAAGAAGCCATTCCCAACGGACATAACCTAACTGAAGCATAGTAGAAAAAAATACACGTGTTAACGTGAAAGGGCCCTGGCTCTTTATCAGTGGTTTTCCTCTTACTCATAGGTTTCCTTAAACAAGCTGTTTGGCCTTCCCAAGACCTGACTTACTCCTCAGTAAAACAGGGAAAGAATACTCTACCTCCCAGTCATATTATCTCATTAATTCTCAAAGCTCCTAGCACAGGACCTGACAGAAAATGGTAAACTGTGTCCTTTAAACCCCAAAACTTTTCCGCTCTAACCAGCCTCTTGGTACGGGAATCTAAAATGTCATACACTTCTCTGCCTCCTTAAAATGTTTTACTAAACAAATTATGCCCTTTCCTTGATGCCTCGGAATCGCCATGACCAATACTGCATTCTGCTGGAGCGGCTCTGGAGCCAGGAGGCG